AAATCGCATTTTAAGATGTGATTAAGATGTGGTTTGTAAAGTATGACATCAAATATTTTTTGCTGGGTAATGATTGAATTGACAAGACGACTACGTGTCTATTCATTTCGAAACTACGAGGGTGATTTTTTTCATATGATTTCTGTAATGAAGGGTGTTTAGCACTTGAGTTTTTGTGTATTTTGGGTATTTGTTTGTTTTTTATTTTTCAATTTCCATTTAACGTTTTTTAATATAAATTTAATTATGTATTTGAAGCGTAAAAAACATTTGCAGAAAAGGGACATGTGTCCTTTTCTTCCCAATCCAAGCAAAACACATCTGAAAGCAGTGATATATAAAAAAGTAAATTGATTTTTTTCTTTCTTTATTAAGTTAAAGGGGTCGTTATAATGTTTTTCAAACGTTTTATTAAACAATGGAAAGACAACAATAGACTCTTGGGAAAGATAATTGCAAAAATAAAAATAAATTTTTTATTAAATTCAGTTGTGCATAATATTAAAGGCATTTACTACATAACTTTAACTTTATAAAGGAATTGGTCCTTCCAGCTCTTAATAGCCAGACATCTCGAAATGAGAGTATATTTTTAGGTGCTTTTTAATATTTAAGTACTTTTTTATTAGAGTTTAATTTTATTTTAGATATTTAATTTTAAAATTTAAATTTAAATACCATTTTAATTAAATTGTTGTATTTTTATTATATTCATTTAAAATTTAAATAGAACTTTAATTTTTTTTATTAAAGCTCCTAACTAAATTTATCAAAACAACCACAAAATCAAATGATAAAATTACAAAAAAAAAAAAATTTACTCAAAGCAAAAATTTCAAATATTCATTAATAAATAATGAATATTGTTAATAAAATCAAAAATATAACAAAATCAAAGCAAAACTCTGCTAAAAGTTAGTTTGACAAAAAGAAAAAAAAAATTATTTAAATTAGATTTAATTAAACTTTTAGTTAACATAATAGTAAAGCACAAAAATTGATTTTGTGAAAATTAAATAGTTAAAAGAAACTAAAACAAATTAAACAATTTCAATGTTTTACAGGGATTTTGAGTAAAAATAACCAAAAAAGTCTAATCTTGACTTGTCTTGTCTATAGTCTAGTCTACAATCCAGTCTAAAGTCTAGTCTGTGGTCCAGTCTATAATCTAGTCTGTAGTCCAGTCTATAGTCTAGTCTATAGTCTAGTCTATAGTCTGGTCTATAGTCTAGTCTATAGTCTAGTCTATAGTCTAGTCTATAGTCTAGTCTATAGTCTAGTCTATAGTCTAGTCTATAGTCTAGTCTATAGTCTAGTCTATAGTCTAGTCTATAGTCTAGTCTATAGTCTAGTCTAGTCTAGTCTATAGTCTAGTCTATAGTCTAGTCTATAGTCTGGTCTATAGTCTAGTCTATAGTCTAGTCTATAGTCTAGTCTATAGTCTAGTCTATAGTCTAGTCTATAGTCTAGTCTATAGTCTAGTCTATAGTCTAGTCTATAGTCTAGTCTATAGTCTAGTCTATAGTCTAGTCTATAGTCTAGTCTAGTCTAGTATAGTCTATAGTCTAGTCTATAGTCTAGTCTATAGTCTAGTCTATAGTCTAGTCTATAGTCTAGTCTATAGTCTAGTCTATAGTCTAGTCTATAGTCTAGTCTATAGTCTAGTCTATAGTCTAGTCTATAGTCTAGTCTATAGTCTAGTCTATAGTCTAGTCTATAGTCTAGTCTATAGTCTAGTCTATAGTCTAGTCTATAGTCTAGTCTATAGTCTAGTCTATAGTCTAGTCTATAGTCTAGTCTATAGTCTAGTCTATAGTCTAGTCTATAGTCTAGTCTATAGTCTAGTCTATAGTCTAGTCTATAGTCTAGTCTATAGTCTAGTCTATAGTCTAGTCTATAGTCTAGTCTATAGTCTAGTCTATAGTCTAGTCTATAGTCTAGTCTATAGTCTAGTCTATAGTCTAGTCTATAGTCTAGTCTATAGTCTAGTCTATAGTCTAGTCTATAGTCTAGTCTATAGTCTAGTCTATAGTCTAGTCTATAGTCTAGTCTATAGTCTAGTCTATAGTCTAGTCTATAGTCTAGTCTATAGTCTAGTCTATAGTCTAGTCTATAGTCTAGTCTATAGTCTAGTCTATAGTCTAGTCTATAGTCTAGTCTATAGTCTAGTCTATATAGTCTAGTCTATAGTCTAGTCTATAGTCTAGTCTATAGTAGTCTATAGTCTAGTCTATAGTCTAGTCTATAGTCTAGTCTATAGTCTAGTCTATAGTCTAGTCTATAGTCTAGTCTATAGTCTAGTCTATAGTCTAGTCTATAGTCTAGTCTATAGTCTAGTCTATAGTCTAGTCTATAGTCTAGTCTATAGTCTAGTCTATAGTCTAGTCTATAGTCTAGTCTATAGTCTAGTCTATAGTCTAGTCTATAGTCTAGTCTATAGTCCAGTCTATAGTCTAGTCTATAGTCCAGTCTATAGTCTAGTCTATAGTCTAGTCTATAGTCTAGTCTATAGTCTAGTCTATAGTCTAATTTATAGTCTAGTTTATAGTCTAGTCTGACTGCATATTTTTTTTGTAAAATTTTCCCTAAAAGTTCAATTGTCTCTCAACAATACGCCATAAAGAACTCATAACAATTTTTCATCAACTCCCACTTAAAACTGTAACAAATCGTTAATAGACTCTCTTTTGCATCATAATATTTTATCTGCACCAACAACGCCTGTCCTTCTTTCTCCAGATTCACTAGATGACAACTTTTGAATGATTAAAATGCAACAATTTGTTTCTGGTATTTATCGTGGACATTTTTAGTGATAAATGTTGTAATCTCAGTATTTTAAAATGTGTTATAAAACTGTGAAAAATTGTAATAAAACCAAAACCATTATTTTCAGCAAAAAAATGTATGTGGTTGAAATTAGTTGCAATTTGATCGCAGTTATTTTTGCTCTGTTTTTTTTTTTTTTTTTTTTTAAAGCTCATAAAACATTTTGAATGCACAAAATTGTGCATCTATGCTGTTGAATTTTTTTATTTAGGGCTTAAAATTTTCTATTAAAGTTTAGGTGTTTGTAGATTATTTGTGCACCATGCTCAAAACTCGATGTTGTGTCAAAAAAACACTTTTTTCTGTATTTACATTTGTCACGCTAGTATGCATAAATATAACAACAAAAATACCACAAAAGTTTTTATATGATGATTTTGGTTTGTTGTAGATTTGTTTTTGGGTCTTAATAGTATAAAAATTTTGAATATGTATATTGCAAAGATCTGCATGTCTGTATATATAAAGAAACAGGGTGTTATAAAAATTAGATGAAAAACTAGTTTTTTGGTTTTACTTTTGTTTTGGAGGGACTTTGTCTTACTTTGACAAGTGATGGAATATACTTTGAAAATGTTGTAGTATTTTGTTTTAAATAACTGTGTTTTTTTGGAACACCCTTTATTTGTTAGTATTTTTTGGCATAAATATTAAACATTGTTGGTTGTTTGGTGTTGAATGATGCTGCCTGCAGTCCCTGTCACTTGTAATTGTTTATTTGTTTATGAGGTTTTCAAAAAGTGTCATCAACACGAAGATTAAGGGTGTTCACTTATTGAGGAAACATTTTTTAAATCTTCAAAATTTATTAATTTTTATACCAATTCATATCAAAAATTAGAACAATTCTCATTTGCTATTAATTAACCGGACTGTAGTCTAACCTATAGTCTAATCTATAGTTTTGACTATGGTCTAAACTATAGTCTGACATAGTCAAATCTATAGTCTTGACTATAGTCTAATCTATAGTCTTGGCTATAGTCTTGACTATAGTCTAATCTATAGTCGTGACTATAGTCTATAGTCTTCACTATAGTCTTGACTACAGTCCAATCTAGAGTCTTGTCTATAGTCTAATCTATAGTTTTGTTTATAGTCTAATCTGTAGTCTTGACTATAGTCTAATCTATAGTCTTGGCTATAGTCTAATCTACAGTCTTGAGTATAGTCTAATCTATAGTCTTAACTATAGTCTAATCTATAGTTTTGACTATAGTCTAATCCATAGTCTAGACTGTAGTCTAATCTATAGGTTTGACTATAGTCTAATCTATAGTCTTGACTATAGTCTAATCTATAGTCTTGACTATAGTCTAATCTATAGTCTTGGCTATAGTCTAATCTATAGTCTTGACTGTAGTCTAATCTATAGTCTTGACTGTAGTCTATTTTATAGTCTTGACTATAGTTTAATCTATAGTCTTGACTATAGTCTAAGCTATTGTCTTGACTATAGTCTAATCTATAGTCCTGATTATAGTCTTGACTATAGTCTAATCTATAGTTTTGTATTTAGTCCATTCTGTAGTCTTGAAAATATTCCAGTCTAATCTATAGTCTTGGCTATAGTCTAATCTACAGTCTTGAGTATAGTCTAATCTATAGCCTTAACTATAGTCTAATCTATAGTCTTGACTATAGTCTAATCCATAGTCTAGAATGTAGTCTAATCTATAGGTTTGACTATAGTCTAATCTATAGGTTTGACTATAGTCTAATCTATAGTCTTGACTATAGTCTAATCTATAGTCTTGGCTATAGTCTAATCTATAGTCTTGACTGTAGTCTAATTTATAGTCTTGACTATAGTTTAATCTATAGTCTAAGCTATTGTCTTGACTATAGTTTAATCTATAGTCCTGATTATAGTCTTGACTATAGTCTAATATATAGTTTTGTATTTAGTCCATTCTGTAGTCTTGAAAATATTCCAGAAAATATTCCAAAATATTCCAGTCTTGATTATGGTCTAATCTAGTTGAGTCTTTAGTCTTGTCAATGTACCATAGTCTTGGCTATGTACTATATTCTTGACTATAGTCCAGTCTTGGCAATAGTCTAGTTTATAGTTTTGACTAAAGTATAGTCATATATATTTTTTTTTTTTTCATTTTGAAGTTTTGTCTAATTTTACTAATTTCCCTTTCATTTCGTTTCCTTTTTTTCAGACGGTATAGTTGGCCCTGGCACTATAACCTCACCGTGGACGCCAGTGAGTGCCGGCCATCCGAGTTCGCTCGGACCGGCTGACTCAAATGGCAGTATGGTAGATAGTAAAAATTTAGATGTCGGCGATATGAGTGATGTAAGTATAATGAACTGATTTATAAAAATTTTAACGGTTTTATTTTAAAACAAATAAAATCTTAGAATAATTTGGTATCTAATCAAAACAGAATCGATTTAATTGAAATCGAATAAACTGATACTTAACAATAAAATTAATTTTGAATTGTATGAGTATTATAATACAAAAGGCAAATAATGTTCGTCTATGATTCCAATAAAGAGCTACACCGATTTTTATAGTAATCCATTCAGTTTTCTATCAATACTCAAACGGGCCAAACTTTAAGCATACGAAATCATTTCAGATTTCTTTCATTACAAAATTAACCCGTTTACTAATTACACAAATTGTATATATGCAAAAGTATAATTTTGTCTGCTCAAACGTAAACATTTGATTATTTAATTAAATAAAATTTTAAAAAAATTTCCCTATTAATCTATTTATTTTTTTTGCCATGATTTTGTAACATTTAAAGTTATATACTAGATTTCTAAACCAGTTCTTTACTCTATTACATATTCCATATTTTATACATCTGTTAATATTTCCTGATATTTTCCAGCAAAACATATTTACCTATATCATTCCCACAGTAATCACTCTGGCAAAAAAAATAATAATAAAAAAAAACCTACAAAACATAAATCATTTCAATCTTTATTAAGAAATAAAATATAAAAAAATACTTGTGTAACATACATTTTCAATAAGTGTCATAAATTTATGTTTATAGTATAAAAAGCAGGGATGGTAAACTATTAGGTTTATTTTATAAAATATTCAGTATAATAGCATTTTCATCTACAGACTGTTATACGTAAATTTCTTTGGTAAAAAGTTTGTTTTACCGGAAAATATCTTTGAAAAAATGTGTTATATTGAAAATTTTTGCAAAACAAAACTGTTATACACTAAATATATTGTTGAAAATAAACTGTTATACGAACATTTTTAATAGATCATTGGATATACATAAATTGTTGTAAAGAAAAATTTTTATTAAACACTTTATATAGGAAACTGTTATACTCGAAACTGTATGTACAAATTTGTAACAGAAAATTCTTGTGAAAAATATCTTTTATAATGAAAGTAACCAAAAAACTGTTATACTTCATTTAAAAATTTACATAAAAAACTGTTATACAAAAAATTGTTTATGGGAATTAGTTAGTTAGTTAGTTAGTTAGTTAGTTAGTTAGTAGTTAGTTAGTTAGTTAGTTAGTTAGTAGTTAGTTAGTTAGTTAGTTAGTTAGTTAGTTAGTTAGTTAGTTAGTTAGTTAGTTAGTTAGTTAGTTAGTTAGTTAGTTAGTTAGTTAGTTAGTAGTAGTTAGTTAGTTAGTTAGTAGTTAGTTAGTTAGTTAGTTAGTTAGTTAGTTAGTTAGTTAGTTAGTTAGTTAGTTAGTTAGTTAGTTAGTTAGTTAGTTAGTTAGTTAGTTAGTTAGTTAGTTAGTTAGTTAGTTAGTTAGTTAGTTAGTTAGTTAGTTAGTAGTTAGTTAGTTAGTTAGTTAGTTAGTTAGTTAGTTAGTTAGTTAGTTAGTTAGTTAGTAGTTAGTTAGTTAGTTAGTTAGTTAGTTAGTTAGTTAGTTAGTTAGTTAGTTAGTTAGTTAGTTAGTTAGTTAGTTAGTTAGTTAGTTAGTTAGTTAGTTAGTTAGTAGTTAGTTAGTTAGTTAGTTAGTTAGTTAGTTAGTTAGTTAGTAGTTAGTTAGTTAGTTAGTTAGTTAGTTAGTTAGTTAGTTAGTTAGTTAGTTAGTTAGTTAGTTAGTTAGTTAGTTAGTTAGTTAGTTAGTTAGTTAGTTAGTTAGTTAGTAGTTAGTTAGTTAGTTAGTTAGTTAGTTAGTAGTTAGTTAGTTAGTTAGTTAGTTAGTTAGTTAGTTAGTTAGTTAGTAGTTAGTTAGTTAGTTAGTTAGTTAGTTAGTTAGTTAGTTAGTTAGTTAGTTAGTTAGTTAGTTAGTTAGTTAGTTAGTTAGTTAGTTAGTTAGTTAGTTAGTTAGTTAGTTAGTTAGTAGTTAGTTAGTTAGTTAGTTAGTTAGTTAGTTAGTTAGTTAGTTAGTTAGTTAGTTAGTTAGTTAGTTAGTTAGTTAGTAGTTAGTTAGTTAGTTAGTTAGTTAGTTAGTTAGTTAGTTAGTTAGTTAGTTAGTTAGTTAGTTAGTTAGTTAGTTAGTTAGTTAGTTAGTTAGTTAGTTAGTTAGTTAGTTAGTTAGTTAGTTAGTTAGTTAGTTAGTTAGTTAGTTAGTTAGTTAGTTAGTTAGTTAGTTAGTTAGTTAGTTAGTTAGTTAGTTAGTTAGTTAGTTAGTTAGTTAGTTAGTTAGTTAGTTAGTTAGTTAGTTAGTTAGTTAGTTAGTTAGTTAGTTAGTTAGTTAGTTAGTTAGTTAGTTAGTTAGTTAGTTAGTTAGTTAGTAGTTAGTTAGTTAGTTAGTTAGTTAGTTAGTTAGTTAGTTAGTTAGTTAGTTAGTTAGTTAGTTAGTTAGTTAGTTAGTTAGTTAGTTAGTTAGTTAGTTAGTTAGTTAGTTAGTAGTTAGTTAGTTAGTTAGTTAGTAGTTAGTTAGTTAGTTAGTTAGTTAGTTAGTTAGTTAGTTAGTTAGTTAGTTAGTAGTTAGTAGTTAGTTAGTTAGTTAGTTAGTTAGTTAGTTAGTTAGTTAGTTAGTTAGTTAGTTAGTTAGTTAGTTAGTTTGTTAGTTAGTTAGTTTGTTAGTTAGTTTGTTAGTTAGTTAGTTAGTTAGTTAGTTAGTTAGTTAGTTAGTTAGTTAGTTAGTTAGTTAGTTAGTTAGTTAGTTAGTTAGTTAGTTAGTTAGTTAGTTAGTTAGTTAGTTAGTTAGTTAGTTAGTTAGTTAGTTAGTTAGTTAGTTAGTTAGTTAGTTAGTTAGTTAGTTAGTTAGTTAGTTTTTTTGTTTGTTTGTAACTGTTATACCACAACTTTGTACAAATAACTGTTATACCAAAAAAATTTACATTAAACTGAGCAGAATATTGTTTACAGAAAAACTGTTATACAATTATGATAATCCTTCAACGAATCAACTTTTCTGTACCTGTTAGTAACAGTTAGTAACTGTTATACTACAACTTTTTACAAATAACTGTTATACCAAAAAAATTAACATTAAACTGAGCAGAATATTGTTTATAGAAAAACTGTTATACAATTATGATAATCTTTCAACGGATCAACTTTTCCATTTCTAATTAAAAAAGTTTCATGTTTTATACACGTAAAATTGAAATCAAATCTGTTATACTTAAACTGTTATACAATAAATTGAGTATTATATGGATTACGGAAATTTGGAATATAAAATAGCATCAACGTTACCATCTCTGATGGAAAATGTATCATATGTTATTCACGTACAACGGCAACAATTTTTTTTAATAAAGTGTCATACGTATGACACTTTCTCTCCCTATCTCTTTACTTCTAAAGTGCAATGATACTACACTCTCATACAAATTAAAATCCTCAAAAAAATACATACTCATATGAAATTTTCTCATCATTGTCATCAGTGTCAATGGATTGCTATAGTTGGATAAATGAGTGTGTGTGTGTGTGTGTGTGTGTGTGTGTATGAACACTTGATAGGATATAAGTGTAACACTTGACTGCAATTACAAGTGATTTTTAATTGTCAAGAGTGTCACATAATAATAATAAAGTACTTTAAAAAAGCCCGTAACAACTAAAAGTCAGAAACGAGGGTTAAATGAAAAGTTTTCGAAAAGAATAAACAGGAAAAGAAAGATCAGCATCATACAACAATAAATGCTTCAATGGAGGTCTGGATGCCACCTTAAATAGTATTAGAGATCATTCTATTGTAATGTTTTTCAAAGATCTTTCTTGAACTGTCCTTATTTAATAATTTTATATATGACACATCTTTAATGTATGGGTTTAGGTTTATAGCAGACTATGGCAAATAAATAGGACAATTCATAAAGTTTTTAAGGAAGGATCATAATCACATTTTTCTGCTTGAATTTTTGCTGCTGCTGCTTTAGCTGCTACAAAATGTTAAGCACTACATTCTAACATTTAAACCTAAAAATGTCTCACATTACATGACACTTGAACTTCCTTCCCCCTAAATACCCATATTACTTAGTTAGTGAGTGAGTTTAGAGTGTGTGTGTGTGCGTATTAATATCTGTGTGTTTTAGTTTTGAAGTATCAATAAGTATTATATATATTTTTTTTTTTCCATTTTTAACTGTAATTTAAGTGTCACACCTAAAATTATATGATTATATACATACATATAGTTATGTCAAGTACCTTGACTACTGTTGTGTTTAGAACCTCCCTTTCTCCCTAATCCTAACTATTAAATCTATTTTAGTTGGGTTTATTATTTAAAAACCATATGAGTATGTTTGGACATAATAAATCATTGTGTTATATGACTCCTATTTAGTTGTCAGAATTTTAGTAGTTTGTTTTTAGTTTTTTGTGGTTAAATATATTTGTTAAATTAATGGCAAATGGCAGACGGTATGTGTGAAAGTTTCAAGCAGGATGTGAAATTTTTTTTAAAAATTTACACGCACACACCTCTAGATGAAGCGAATTACAGATGTTTTAGGGTTTTTTTTTCATGTTATAATTCCATATTTCAAATCGATTGTTTTAATTTTATTCATTTTGAAATTAACCGTTTGAGACCCATTTATTTCTAAAGGAACGAATGAAATGATTCCAGTAAATTTTTCAAAAAATTGGTTGTAATTTTTAAACGACTTGTAAAAATTTGAGGCAAAAATTTCATATTGGGTAACTTTTAAAAGCTTGAAATGGATCATAGCTCACATAATGTTAAAGAAAGGAAAATTTACGATCATTTTTTGTACAAGCTGACGATCAATTTTCTACTTTAGAGAAAATTTAACTAAACTTTTCCTCTTTCAGAAAATTTACAATAAATTTTGTTATTAGAGATAATTTACAATAATTTTTATACTTTAAAGATCAAGATCAGTTCTATTGTTTAGAGAAAACTGACGATCAAAAAATTATGAATATTTTTTTTTTTAAGAAATTTTCGACAAATATTCTTTTTGGAATGAGATTTTTTTTTCTTTCTTCAAGAAGATTTACGATCAGTTTTCTTCTTCAGATAAAATTTGCGACCAGTTTGAACAAACTGACGATCAATTTTCTACTTTAGAGAAAATTCAAAAATTTTTTTTTAAAAAATATTGTTTGATTAGAGAAAATTTACGAGAATTTTCTCTTGTAGAGAAAATCAAGATCAGTTATAGGTTTACAGAAAATTGGTGATAATTTTTAAGAAATCTGACGATCATTTTTCTAATTCAGAAAATATTTTTTATAGAAAATGTTCTATGAGAAACTTAATGATAAATTTTTTACTTAAGAGGAAATCACGATCAAGTCTATTGTTTAGAGCAAATTGACGATCAAAATCATGGCGATCAGTTTTCAATAAATCTTTTTGCAAAATTTTGGAAATTTTTTAGAAAATTTTCTTTCTTAAAGAAAATTCATGATCAGTTTTCTTTTTTTAAGTTTAAGAAAATTTTTGAAAAATTTTAATTTTTATCAAACATTTTTGATCCTCAAAGAAAGTTTTCAATACAATCTCCTTTTTAAGGAAATTATTTGAAAAGTTGGGAATTTTTTTAAAAAATTGTGTTTCTTAAAGATTATTCGCGATCAGTTTTCTTTATTTAAAGAAAATTTTTAATAAATTTTCTTCTTTAACAATAATTTTTTATCCTCAAAGAAAGTTTTCAATAAAATCTCTTCTACAATGAACATTCTTCAGAAAATTGACAATTAATTTCAAAAATTGTCATTCTTAAAGAAAATTCACGATCCGTTTTATTCTCTTTTTTGATAAATTTTCTTCATTAACAATAATTTTTGATCTTCAAAGAAAGTTTTCAAGAACATTCTCAATAAATTTTCTTCTCTTGAGAAATTCACGATCTGTTGTCTTCTTTAGAGAAAATTTTTAATACATTTTCGTTTTTGGCAATAAACGCCAAAGAACATTCGCGATCAGTTTTCTTCTATTGATTCTTCTTTGGAGATTATGTCAAAAATTGCCTTTCTTAAAGAACATTGGCGATCAAGTATCTTCTCTACAATAAATTTTCGCTAATGATTGTTCTTTAGCAATCATTTTTGATCCTTAAAGAATTTTTTCCATAAAATCTCTTCTACAAAGATTACAAAGAGATGAAGAAAATTTACGATCAGTGTTCTTCTGTAAAGAAAATGTTTGCTAAAGTTTTTTCTTTAGCAAAAATTTTTGATCCTTAAAGAAAGTTTTAAATAAAGTCTCTTTCATAAAGAACATTTCCGTTCTCCAGAGAAGAAGAAAATTCACGATCGTTAAGAAAAATTTTAATAAATTTTATATTTTAGCAATAATCTTTGATATTTAAGGAAAGTTTTCAATGAGATCTGTTCTCTAAGGAAGAGATTTAATTGAAAAATTGAGAAATTATTTCAAAAATTCACGATCACTCTTATTCTATGGAGAAAATGTTCGCTAAAGATTCTTCTGCAGCCATCATTTTTGATCCTTAAAGAAAGTTTTCATTAAAATCTTTTCTATAAAGAACATTTTCGATACATTTTCTTCTCTAGAGAAGAAGAAAATTCACGATCAGTTTTTTTCTTTAGAAAAAAATATTGAAAATTTTCTTTTTTTGGCAAAAATCCTCAAAGAAATTTTTTAATAAAAACTCTTAAGGAAATTGTGAAAATATTTTTTCAAAAATTTTCTTTCTTAAAGAAAATTCACCATCAGTAGAGAAGAACTCTAGAGAAATTTAAAGTTTCTTCTTTAGCAAAAATATTTTTCTTCTTTTGAAAAAAATTTCAATAAATTTTCTTTAAAATTTGTTCTTTAAAGGCAATTTTTTGATAAATTTTCTTTTCTTTTTAATATTTTTTTCCATAAAGAACTTTTCATTAAATTTGCTATTTTTCTTTTTAATTTCTTTTCCAGGATGAAAAAGATCTATCAAATGCCGATGCCGAAGGTGTTTGGAGTCCAGATATTGAACAAAGTTTTCAAGAAGCCCTCTCAATATATCCACCATGTGGACGTAGAAAAATTATACTCTCCGATGAGGGTAAAATGTATGGTAAGTTAAAGATATACAAAATTTACTCTCTTAACAAGAGCAACAAATATTGAGAATAAAATTTGACAGATTTCTTACAAGATAAGATAAAAAAGTTAATTAAGGTTAAGTTGAAACGATATAAGCTACTATTTGATTTTTTTGCCTTTTGTTCTGAATTACAACCATAATTACAAAAAAAGTCATAAATCAAAAAATGATTTCATACTGAGACTTTGAACGGAAGACAGTTTGAGTTTTTTTTTTTTTCTTAATTTTGATTTTGTATGAATGAACAAACCCACGTAATATATGTCATCCTTTTTGGTTGCCCTCAATCTTATTCCTATCATGTAGAGCGTTGAGTTGTGTTCACTTGATTTTTTTTTTTTGCCATTGCGTGTCTTTGATTGCATCTTTGGTTTCAAAAACCGAGAATGTCTTTTTCTCCAGCCAGCTCATTAAATTGTGCGTTTGAAGAAAGAAAAAAACAAGATGATTATCTTGTGCATCTACTGCAGCAGTCTACTCTGACTTGACTTTGATTTGTCGGCTGTTGTGTATGCGGCAAACTGCACAGATGCATTTGTTTGAAAAGGTTATGCAGATGTCTGTCTAAACGTCTGCCCGGTCTCTTCTTTTTTTTCGGTAATCATGTCTGCTAAGATGTCTTCAATATACCTGTTGTAAGTTTTTGTTTTATCGATATTTTCTTTTTTTTCAAAATTTCCATTTTACTTTTGTAAGTTATTGTGTGTGGACAGGTCTTGGGTTTTTTTGAAAATTTCTTTTTGATTATGTTGATAATATTGAGGTCTTATTACATCATACTTATGTCATTAGTGATTTTGTTTTAAATTTATATTGATGTCTGTATTTAAAAAACGTTTAAAGAGTCATTTAAGTTAATCATGATTTTTTCATAAAAATTATTTTTGGGAATTAAATATTGATTTGTCTGAATGAATTTTTAAATTTTTCTCTTAACAAAAGTAAACAGGTGTTATGATTTAAGTGGAAATTAGTAGAAAAATTTTAAACTAAAAATTAGAGCATAAATGAGAACTCTTAAGAAAGAGGGGATCATAAGCCATAGGGGCTTCAACAGAATTATTTTCATAATTAAGAAGTTTTCTAGTAAAAACTCTTGAAAACTGCGTTTAAAAAAAGGTTGTTATTAAAACAAGATAAATAAGAAAAGAAAATCGGTTACTTGCGTGACTGGGGTTCATAAGCCACTGGGGTAGATTCACTATTTTTACGTTTTTTCAATCAGAATTATTTTCCTAATTAAGATGTTTAAAACTCGAATAAGCAAAACCTTGAAAGGTTTTTACAAACAAAGCATAGTAAAACGACTACTTATGCCAAAGGGGTTCACAGGCCGCTGGGGTAGATTAGTCATTCTTATGCTATTTCCTTATTAACAAGTTTCATAGTTAAAACTTAATTAAGTAGCACTAAGAAGTTTTTTTATAAGCAAAGAACAGTAAATCAAGGGGTTCATTCACTGGGGTAGATTCTTTAATCTGAAGTTTTTTTTATCAGAATTATTTTCCTAATTAAAAGGTTTCACTGTAAAATTACGAATAAGCAGAACTATGAAAAGTTTTTATAAATAATAAACGGAAAATCGACTACTTGAGTGCAGGGGGTTTATAGACCGCTGGGGTATATTCATTATTCTTAAGCTATTTCCTTATTTTGATTTCATGTTTAACAAGTTTCACACTAAAAACTTAATTAAATAGCACTAAGAAAGTTTTTTTTTATAAAGAAAGAACAGAAAATCGATTACTTGTAGGAAAGGGGTTCATTAGCCATTCTTAAGGTATTTCCAAAATGTTTGCCCAATCTAATTGTTTTCTTAATTAAAGAGTTTCACAGTAAAAACTTGATTAAGTAAAACTAAGAAAGTTTTTTTTATAAAGAAAGAACAGAAAATCGACTACTTGAGTAATGGGGGTTCATAGACCACTGGGGATGATTCGCCATTCTTAAGCTATGTTCCAAAATGTTTACGTTTTATCATGCAAACTTAGATAATTGTAATTTCAAATAGTTTTTATTATAAAATCAAAAGTAAAACTTCGATCCATTTTCCTGGAAATATAAAGATTCCGCTCCAAAATAACTGTCAACCGCCCCAATGAGGCAAACTTTGGACACCCTGTTCTGAAGTAAAGCCTATGTAGGAGAGAGTATTGTGCCTCGATCGAAACTAATAGCAATCGGCCGGGGCAAACTTTCCAAACACTTCTTTCTAAATACTTTTTAAAAAGTATTGCAACAGGCGCCCGAGCGTTGTCATCATGATATATTATGCTTTCATGTTTGGCCACATATTCTTCCTTCAAACCAATCCGTTGTGTTCGGAACAGATTCACTGTTATGTTCTTTTGAAGTCAAGAACGATTCAAATCAACCTCGGATACCAAGTTCTGAAGTAAAGTCTATGCCGAGGACGGCATTCTCGATCGAAACTAATAGCAGTCGGTTAGGACAAAATCTGGGCTATAAGACTGGCGAAGCATACAATCTCAACCAATTCTTTCTAAATAGTTTTTAAAAAGTATTGCGCCCGACGTACGCAAATTCCCAGGTTGCTCGCAAACGTTCGGAAATTGCTGCTTGAGTTGCTCCTAATGATTTTGCAAGGTCTTCTTGAGTTCGACAACATTCTAACAAGAGCTTGTTAGTCATTGCTGTACTACTTCTAAGTAATGCAAACGGTATGTATTAGACATTGCAAAATAAGTAGTTGAGTAAGTAAAAGTCATCATAAGGTTTTTGCTGGGAATTTGTCTATCGTGTCAAAATCACCACTTCTGAATCACACAAACCGTTTCTAGAACATTGGTACCGACGACACACAATCACCATAAGCTTCATTGAGCAACTGGTTTGCTTCTGGGGAACTTTTTTTCAAATTAAAGAAGTAAATCATAATATGTTCTCAGTTGGTTCAAAATTCAACTTTCCCGAAGCAAAAAATCAATATACTCACTATGTTCTTTAAATATCTTACAATTTTCCTAGTAATTTCTTTCAAGTAAATTTTAATTCTTTATTTCCTACAAAATTTACAAAAAAAGATTCACCATTGTCTTTAAGCAGAAACTTTTTAAATGCACTTTATTTTAAATTATACCAAAGAAGAACAGTAGAAACAAAATAGAAAAAACTAACAGAAGAAAAAAACTCTAATACAATAGAAAACTAAAGAATGTGCAAATGTTTAACATTAGTTTATAACATGCATCCAATAATATGCTTAAGGACATTTCTAGAATCCTGTTCCTTTCTCTCATTATTCTTTTATCATGTTTTTACTCTTTCTTTACTCCATAAAAAAAAAAACAAAAGTTTGCCTGACCCAACTCTACTACGTACTACTTCAACATAATATTCACAAAACACATCTTTTAGTTTTATGAAATAAATTTATTTTGTTGTTATTTAGCATTTAACTTCAGTAAAATAGTTTGTCACAAAACATTTCACAATTCATCATCATCAACAGCAACATATTCAAAACATGACAACTGCTTTAGTCCTTCCATCAACATCATCATCATCGTCAGCAACAACATCAACTCTTCTCTGCAGTTATAAATTTTAGAAAAAAAATTATTCACAACAGCATTATTAAAAAAGGACATGAACTTTCTCTCTCTGTCTTCACAACACATTAGATCCTTCAGACATAATCGTTGCTGAGTTTTTTTTTAATTTTTTTTCTTTTTGCTTCACAAGACAGAAATGACACTTAGTGGAAGAAAAAAGGAAAAAAAGTAGAACTGAAAAGATACAGTCAAAGTTAAATAGTAGAGTTTTATATTAGAAAATCATTTTAGAGATATAATAAACGAGGGTTGTTCTTAAATGGGGTAAATTGTAAAAGAAATTTTACTTCTTTAGTTAGTTAGTTCGTTAGTTAGTTAGTTAGTTAGTTAGTTAGGTAGTTAGTTATTTAGTTAGTTAGTTAGTCAGTTAGTTAGTTAGTTAGTTAGTTAGTTAGTTATTAGTTAGTTAGTTAGTTAGTTAGTTAGTTAGTTAGTTAGTTAGTTAGTTAGTTAGTTAGTTAGTTCGTTAGTTAGTTAGTTAGTTAGTTAGTTGTTAGTTAGTTAGTTAGTTAGTTTTTCGTTAGTTCGTTAGTTCGTTAGTTAGTTAGTTAGTTAGTTTCGTTCGTTAGTTAGTTAGTTAGTTCGTTCGTTCGTTCTTTAGTTCGTTCGTTCGTTCGTTCGTTCTTTCGTTCGTTCGTTAGTTCGTTCGTTCGTTTAGTTCGTTTCGTTCGTTTCGTTCGTTCGTTCGTTCGTTCGTTCGTTCGTTCGTTCGTTCGTTCGTTCGTTCGTTCGTTCGTTCGTTCGTTCGTTCGTTCGTTCGTTCGTTTTCGTTCGTTCGTTCGTTCGTTCTTCGTTCGTTCGTTCGTTCGTTTCGTTCGTTCGTTCGTTCGTTCTTTCGTTCGTTCGTTCGTTCGTTCGTTCGTTCGTTCGTTCGTTGTTCGTTCGTTCGTTCGTTCGTTCGTTCGTTCGTTCGTTCGTTCGTTCGTTCGTTCGTTCGTTCGTTTTTAGTTCGTTCGTTCGTTCGTTCGTTCGTTCGTTCGTTCGTTAGTTAGTTCGTTCGTTCGTTCGTTCGTTTGTTATTCTTTCGTTAGTTCGTTCGTTTAGTTCGTTCGTTCGTTCGTTCGTTGTTCGTTTTCGTTCGTTCGTTCGTTCGTTCGTTCGTTCGTTCGTTTTCGTTCGTTTTCGTTCGTTCGTTCGTTCGTTCGTTCGTTCGTTCGTTCGTTCGTTCGTTCGTTCGTTCGTTCGTTCGTTTTCGTTTCGTTCGTTCGTTCGCTCGCTCCTCTCCTCGCTCGCTCTCTCGCTTCCTCTCGCTCGCTCGCTCGCTCGCTGCTCGCTCGCTCGCTCGCTCTCTCGCTCGCTCGCTCGCTCGCTCGCTCGCTCGCTCGCTCGCTCGCTCGCTCGCTCGCTCGCTCGCTCGCTCGCTCGCTCGCTCGCTCGCTCGCTCGCTCGCTCGCT